TTCAGGATCGTTGTATAAGCACAGCAGGTAACTATACTGCAAACAGCACTTACCAGGCCAACCTCAACAACATCTTCTCTCAACTTACCTCTCTGACGGAATTCAACTATGGGTTCTATAATCTGTCTGCTGGTGATGAAAACGCCACCAAAGTTAATGCAATAGCACTTTGCAGGGGGGACATAAACCAAACTGTTTGCAACAGCTGCCTCAATGACACCATATCTGAACTCAGGCAGCGATGTCCCTTTTACAAGGAGGTGATTGGATGGTCTGAATATTGTATGCTGCGCTACGCCAACCGAGACATCTTTGGAGAAATGGAAGACTCTCCTGGCACTTGTCTACTCAACACACAGGACGTAGCGAATGCTGATCAGTTCAATCAGGCATTGGATAACCTGTTGAATAATCTGAGCAGTCTAGCCGCAGCTGGGGGTCCTCTTCGCAAGTATGCAGCAGATAACTATCCGGTGGGTGCCTTTCAAACAGTATACGCTCAAGAACAGTGCACTCCTGATTTGTCCGAGCAAGAATGTGGTAATTGTCTAACTGAGGCTAAGCAAGGGATTGGAGGTTGCTGCTTGGGGAAGATGGGATGCAGGGTTCTTCGACCAAGCTGTTTCTTGAGGTTTGAGTCTAGCTCATTTTATCAGACTCCAATTCCTCTACCGTCGCCTCCACCGTCTCCAACTTCTTCTCCTCCTCCAGGAGGTAAATTATCTAGTCTTGCCGATAAAAATATTTCTTTCTCTTTCATTTAAAATGATTACTAGGTGTAGTTCGATCAAATTAATTGTCTTCTGGATAACCATATATCATTTTCCATACTTCTTTCAACTAGAAACCAAAATTTTTTTGTTCTAAGAAAAAAAACCACTCCAAATCCCTGAATAATTCGATTGTTCTTATTTCCCATGTTACAAATTAGTTTCTTAATAATAGAAATCATTTTCGATTAAAAATAAAGAAAAAAATAGGGGTATTAGAATTCAAGGGAAAAATGCTACTATTTACGTAAAATTTTTTGGTAAGGACTCACAGGGTAAATAGAAGAAACAGAATAAACAGAGCAAAGCACTTAAAAAGAAAATAAAATTAGTTAGAGACGAGCACCAATATGTAGCGGTTTAATATGTGACAACCAGATTTGAAGGATTTATTATGTGGTCTTGTGGGAATTTTCTTCATTGTCTTCTAGGTTTATCCATTCAATGTGTAATTATATAGAATTCTAATTCTGATTGGAGCCACACTTATGAATTTTGCAGGAAACGGCAATAATACAACTCGTATTGTCATAATTGTTGTTGCCTCAGTTGTTGGAGTTCTGATACTGATTACCTCCATCTGCATCTTTTGGAGAGTCAGGAAGACCCATGAAAAACTTGGAAGTAAGTAATATTACTCCCTAATGCAATATGATAATGGACTTGATTCAGTAAAATATATAGGAAAAAGGCTTTCAAGTATTAGCTGCTAGCTGGTGAAGAATCGTGATGAATAAGCAAAGATTACTGTCAATAACCAGTGAATAAGTTTATGATATCCAGTAGAATTTACTTGAAATGCGTGCAAAATGCCATTTTTTATCTGCAAGTGTAAACATTTTGCTTCTTGCAGCTGATGATGAGGTTATTAGGGCTGAGTCCCTGCAATTCGACTTTGCCACAGTTCGGGTTGCAACTAATAACTTTTCTGATGCAAATAAGCTTGGTCAAGGTGGATTTGGAGCTGTTTACAAGGTAAAGAGCTCAGCTAATTGGAAAAGAATATTAAATTGTCTCAAACTATGAAAGCTTAACCTAAATTATGAAATCAATTTAAAATCTCTTATGGTCCATTATTCTATTTTCAGGGTCGGCTTCCAAATGGACAAGAGGTTGCTGTGAAAAGACTATCCATGAATTCTGGACAAGGAGACCAAGAGTTTAAGAATGAGGTCCTGTTAGTGGCGCAGCTTCAACACCGCAATTTAGTTAGGCTCCTTGGCTTCTGCTTGGAAGGACATGAAAAGCTTCTCATTTATGAGTTTGTGCCAAACACAAGCCTTGATCATTTCATATTTGGTACAATTTCCGTTTCACTTTCAGATGTATTCCTAATAATTTTTATAAATTTTTTGTTTTTTTTTTAAGCCATGGACATCAACATGAACATATATGTAAACTGACAAGGGATAATATCCAAACGAAGCCTATAATCCTAGTAATTTCTCTTATTCCACTATAGTCAATCTAAAGCTTCTACGAACATGTAATATAGATCAAGTCAAGCGTGCACAACTGGATTGGGAAAGGCGCTACAAAATCATAGGAGGAATTACTCGTGGGCTCCTTTACCTTCACGAAGATTCTCGACTTAGGATAATTCATCGGGACCTTAAGGCAAGCAACGTTTTGTTAGATGCAGATATGGTTCCTAAAATTGCAGATTTTGGGATGGCAAGGTTGTTTGTTCGGGATGAAACACAAGGCAATACCAGCAGAATTGTGGGCACCTAGTAAGTATCAAAATATTGATTGAGCTTTGAATTGTTTATTGTATGAACGGATTCCAGCACTGTATATGTCATAGAAACAGCATGAAACTCCAAAAAAACGATTTAGTTACATTCTATCTTTAAGAAAACCTTGTTGGTCAAAATTGAGAATGACATTAGAAATGTTCATCTGCAGTGGATATATGGCACCAGAGTATGCTATGCACGGGCAATTCTCAGTAAAATCAGATGTTTTCAGTTTTGGTGTGTTGATTTTGGAAATTATAAGTGGTCAGAAAAATAATTGCTTCCGAAATGGGGAGACGGTGGAGGACCTACTAAGCTGTGTAAGTATACTCTGTAAAGTCATATTTGTTTCTCTTTGGGGAGAAATTTGCACCATTATTTGTCTACAAATTGATAATTTCTTGCTGCAGGCATGGAAAAATTGGAGGGAAGGGACAGCATTGAATATCATTGATCCAACTTTGAGAGATGGTTCGAGAAATGAAATGATGAGATGTATCCACATTGGATTGCTATGCGTTCAAGAAAAAGTAGCTGACAGACCAACCATGGCTACAGTTATTCTGATGCTTAATAGCTTCTCAATCTCCCTCCCGCTGCCCTCACAACCAGCATTTTTTATGCACAGCAACATTGAATCTGATATGTCATCCTCGTTGGGTTATAATTCTCAGATGACAGAGTCCAACGAATTCAAAAGCGAAGCACTTCCATTGTCCACGAACGAGGTTTCAATTACTGAGCTCTATCCTCGATAGCGTTCGACAATTGAATCGTTCGATGTCACTCGTTGCACCACTTCAACTTGGATTTGTTTCCACAGTGATAGGAGTTGGTGAGAGTTTAGAAAAAGATTATTAGTTGTAAAATTGATGCTCTAAAAAAATGGTGTTGCTTTGCTTCATGTCAATAACAGCTTCCAATTCCTGAATTTGGTGTTCTTGCCCACCGGTATACACTCTATATGCTTTTCTTAATCAAATTCTGAGTATAGCTTTTTTTTCCTGTTTATTGAACTTATGATCGTAACTTATGGGTGTAAAAATTATGTATGAATATCATTTTGTTTGATTAGAAATGGGAGAAAAATGATTGAAAGACTCGTTTCATTTTGTTTCATAAGTAAATGTTGCTTCTAAGCCTTTTAATTTGATTCGGCAATTTTAAGTACAATTACAAGTCGTCATGAACCATTAATGAATATTTGCCATGATATTCGGTTTCTTTTATTCAAGGACAGTTGTACATAATAAACTTGCTATACAATTAATGTTTCAAACTCCATAGTTGTAAGGAGAGAGTGAATGTAGGTTTTCTTTTAGTTTTAACATTTCATTAAATTGAAAAAAAAAAATAGAATCAATGGTTATATTATATTATAGTATGTTATTTATCCTATCAATTTGGTCTAAAATATTTGTATTCATGACATAATATATAGTTATCAAATAAATTCAAATGTTAGTTCGATCAATTTATGGATAAATTAATTAATTTTTAAATGAAATATTACACGTAAATCAATAAATTATTTTAACTTAAAAATAAAAAAAATGTTTGAACAAAAATGGTGCGGCAAATCATATTTTTTATAATAGTATCTATCCATATATTAAATAGTAAACTTAAAATTTACCTCTTTATAAACTTCTTAAAAAAATTTTTCTTGTTAGCAAAATATATAACTTGAGAGAAAAGGGGTTTCTTTAAATCATAAATGTGATTAACAGGACTAAACTTGTTTCAGCACAATCCACAAGAGACTTGTATAAATTTTTTAATAATAAGTGACTCGTTCAATATCTCTAGAGGAATCAATTCGCCTTTCCATGCCAACTAAGCAAAAATAATTACTTATAGTATATGGTCACTTAATTGCAAGTTTAATTAACTTGCATTCTACACGTTTTATTTATATATTTATTTTTGAGAAAATAATAATAATAGACTAATATTTTGTGGTCCGTTCCAAATGAGACAAGGATTTTTTTATGTATTATTTATTAATAATTAAAAAAATCATTATTACTATTATAAAAGGTCTAAGATAGCTTACATAAATTTCATTTTTAATATATAAAAAACAACGATTAATATTGCAACATGTGATGGCTTTGTCTCAACTACTTCCATCAACCTCATGTTGAGGCATATTAGTGAAGAGTTTAATTTCCATGCGATGACAGAGTATTTCAATTCTATGGATTTGATTAGTCTTAAACTCATGTCATAATTACAACCAAACCACCCAATTTCTTTAAACTCAAGTCATAATCATAAAAGGAAATAACCATACAAAAATAAAATTTTCCAACACAACTCTAAAAAATTGTAGTCAAACTTTAGATTTTAAGCAACGAATCAATTAATAAATTAATTTATTATGAAAAAAATTTAATATAAAACTAAATCAAATTTAATAAGACTTGAATATTAAATTTTTTTAAAATTTTGAAAAATTTTCGTTAAAGTTCATACAAAATCTTTTTGCCAACCCTTTTTGAATTGATCCAATACAAAGCCGAAATTGACTTATTCAACATAGATAATTATAAAACCTTATGAATCAAAAGTTTCAATTTTCAAGGATTAGATTAAAATGATGGCAATGGGTTCTTCAAGACTTCTTTTCTTTTTAGCTCTTAACCTTGTTCTTAGTGTCAGCAGCGCCCAGAACTCTCTGTTATTTCCAAGTTGTTCAGACGATCGAGGTAACTTTACCGCTAACAGCAGCTACGAGGCAAACCTCAACAACCTCCTATCTTCTTTCTCCTCTATATCAGCAAATGATTACGGCTTCTACAATATGTCCGTCGGCCAAAACACCGACAGAGTTAACGCGGTTGCCCTTTGTAGAGGAGATATTAACCCAGATGTTTGCCTTGGTTGCATCAATAATGCTACCACTGAGCTAACAAATCGGTGTCCCAACAGGATGGAAGCAGCTATTTGGTATGACTATTGTGTGTTGCGCTACTCAAATCGCTCCATCTTGGGTGTCATGGAAGCTAGTGTTTTTTCCTATTTGTCGAACTCTATGACTGTAACGAATCCGGTCAGTTTTAATGCATCGCTGAGTAATTTGCTGTTTCAACTAATAGAAAGAGCCGCATCAGGAGGTTCTTTACGCAAGTATGCAACAGGAAATGTTGACGATTCGAATTTCCAACCAATATATGCACTTGTGCAGTGCACTCCTGATTTGTCCCTGCAAGATTGTACCACTTGCTTGGAGAGATCTTTTCAACAGATTCCACGATGTTGTGGTGGAAGACGAGGAGGCAGGGTAATTACGACTAGCTGTAGTTTACAGTTTGAGATGGAACGTTTCTACAATGCTTCACCCGGTACACCACCACCCTCTTCATCTCCTCCTCCGCCCTCCAATGAAGCCACAAACTCAACAGGTAAAACACCTATTCTCTGCTTCAAATCTGTTGAGTCAAACCGTCCTATATGTGCTCCATATCTGTGTCTCCTTTTCTGTCTCTTTTCAATGTTCCAAATTGTTATTCTTTTTTTTCTTTCTTAATTCAAGACTTGATTAATCAGCAAGCTTTGTTATGAAATCAAATGTTTGGTTTTTTGCAGGAAATAAGAACAACACATCTCGAATTGTCATCGCTGTCGTTGTTCCATCTGCCAGTGTTATGATACTTACCCTCTGTGTCTACCTTTTTTTGAGAGCTAGAAAGAGGAAGGAAACTGTTGAAAGTAAGATTAAACGTCTTTCCAACAATTTTATAGGAAAAGATTATTTATTTATTTAGAAAGGCTTTTGCGTGTCAAACTTGCTAATTTAGCCATATATATCAAGTTCAACCTTTAGTAATGATAATTACTTGCTCCTCGCAGCTACGGATGAAGATATTATCAGTGCAGAGTCTTTGCAATTTGATTTTGGCACCATTAGAACTGCAACAAATAACTTTTCTGATGAATATAAGCTTGGGCAAGGTGGCTTTGGTGCTGTTTACAAGGTAAAGGAAAAATAAATATTTCTGTTTGCTAATTCTTGATGTAATGTAAGTATTTGACGTATATATACTTTGTTCCAATCCAATGTTTTTCAGGGTAGGCTTTCCTCTGGAGAAGATATTGCTGTAAAAAGGTTATCCAGGGAATCAGGACAAGGAGATTTAGAATTCAAGAATGAAGTCCTCTTGGTGGCCAAACTTCAACACCGAAATTTAGTCAGACTTCTTGGTTTCAGCCTGGAAAGAACTGAAAGACTTCTTGTCTATGAGTTTGTACCTAATGCAAGCCTCGACCGTTTCATATTTGGTATTGCTGCATTTAATCTTGAATTCACTTATATTTTATTTGTTAGTTAGTACGTACGTAGAAAGCACTGCCGGTGATATAAAACCACACATGATTGATTTCTTATTGGTAAATTGATAGAAAACCACACATGATTGATTTCTTATTGGTAAATTATATATAGATCCAAGAAAGAGGGAACAACTGGACTGGGAACAACGCTACAAAATCATAGGAGGAATTGCTCGGGGACTCCTTTATCTTCATGAAGATTCTCGACTTCGAATAATTCACCGTGACCTCAAAGCGAGTAATGTTTTGCTCGACGCAGATATGAATCCAAAAATTGCAGACTTCGGCATGGCAAGATTGTTTTCAATGGATGAAACACAGGGCAATACAAGTAGAATTGTGGGAACCTAGTAAGTAATTTCCAAAGTAACATGATCAACCGTCTAGCTTTACGATTAACACTGTTTATCTACCAAAAAAACCAATTACATTATGAAAACCCCAAATGCCACGCATATATTTCAAAGCGAAATTAATAATATGATTCTAATTATTTGTGTTTTTATTCTTGATTGGTAGTGGTTACATGGCTCCAGAATATGCAATGCATGGACAATTTTCCGTGAAATCTGATGTCTTTAGCTTTGGAGTATTGGTTTTGGAAATAGTCACCGGTCGAAGAAATAATTGTTTCCGCGATGCAGAGAATGTAGAAGATCTTTTAAGCTATGTGAGTATGAAATTCATAAATTCAAGTAGTTTTAAACTTGGTGAGGATTAGAAGCCTCAATATTATGTTGCTTACTAAAAAAATCCTTGCAGGCGTGGAAAAATTGGAGGGAAGGATCAACGGTGAATCTTATAGATCCAACTCTGATGGTTTCTTCAAAAGCTGAAATGACAAGATGCATCCACATTGCTTTACTCTGTGTTCAAGAAAATGTGGTGGACAGACCAACCATGGCTTCGGTTGGCGTCATGCTTAATAGTAACTCACTTACACTTCCGTTGCCTTCACAGCCAGCATTTTTCATGCACAGCACCATTCAATCGGACCTCTCAAGTGTTACGGATCATTCCAATGACGAAACCTTGCCCTTATCAAAAAATGAGGTATCAATTACAGAGTTATCTTGTCGTTAGGTGCTTAACCACAATTATAATGGATGTTAGTTTCAATTATAACCATTTGTTCTGTATTTTACTATGTTTTTTGTTCTGTATTTTAATATGTTGCAGTTAGTTATTAAACATAAACAATTTTTTCATGTAATGAAATTATATACTTGCGATTCTTGAAAGTTGATGCACTGAGATGCTGCATGTTGTACTAATTAATTCTTTGTACCATTTTATTTTTTTGACAAATGATATTTCATTAATCGAAGGAAACATGGAGAACCTGTAAACCGTCAACAATTCAAAAAATAACTACTTTATTATCCTTTTTATTTTGGATTAGCAATGGGAAAAATTTTAGATTTGACCATTATTTAAAAGTAAGTTAGTATGCTGATGGATGCAACAAAAAGTACTTGTAATTGAGCTTAGTTGTAGCTTTGATTTGGACATTTGGTTTGGTCAGGAGACGATTGGCGTCGCATGTGCTTTATAAAAGAAATTTATGTTAGAAAAACAAAACTAATAAAGAAGTTGGCATCGTGCCACCGCCAAAGATTGTTTTATCTTGGACCGCTTCTATCTCAATCAAATGTTTAAAGTTCGACCACAAATCTTTATTCCAAACAGTTTATTAGTATTCTTCAAAGTTCAAATAGTTGATTAGTATCTTCTTCCTTGACGCCCTGTCAAAGGGTTGAACAACGGTTTGAACAACAATATATTAGAGTTTTTTTTTTTTTTTTTAATGTAGATCGAAATATAGAAACTAAATAAAATGAAATTGTAAATACAGGTGATAATCTTAGCCTTACCGAAATTTACTTTAACAAAAAGTGAATGAAAAAGATTAGTCTTTTACGTTTATAAGTCTAAGAATGAGGTCCTGTTAGTAGCCAAGTTTCAACACAACAATTTAGTTAGGCTCCTTGGTTTCTGCTTGGAAGGACATGAAAAGCTTTTCATTTATGAGTTTGTTGCGAACACAAGCCTTGATCATTTCATATTTGGTAGTGTTTCCGTTTCACTTTCAGATGTATTAATTTTTATAAATTTTCTGTTTTTCTTTAAGGCATAGACATCAACATGAACATATTTGTAAACTGATAAAAGTGATAATATCCAAGAGAAGCCTATAATCCTAGTAATTTCTCTTATTCCATTATAGTCAATCTGAAACTTCTGTAAACACGTAATATAGACCTAGTCAAGCGATCACACTTGGATTAGGAAAGGTGCTACAAAATCATAGAAGGAATTGTTCATAAAATTTTTTTACTTTTATGAAGATTCTTGACTTTAAGATAATTCATCGAGATTTTAAAGCAAGCAATATTTTGTTAGATGCAAATATGATTCTTAAAATTACAAATGTTGAGATGGCAAGGGTTTTTTGTATTGGATGAAACACAAGGCAATGCCAGCATAATTGTGGTTATCTAGTAGGTATCAAAACATTGATTGAGATTTGAATTGTCTGTTGTGTGCACCAATTCCAGTACCGTACGTGTTATAGGAACAACATGAAACTCCAAAAAAAAAAAAAAAAAAGATTTAGTTACATTCTATCTTTAAGAAAACCTTGTTTGTCAAAATTGAGAATGACATTAGAAATGTTCATATGCACAGTGGATATATTAATTCATGAGTAAATCAATTAAATGAGATATTATATTTAAATTAATATATATTATTATCACGTAAGAATAAAGAAAAAAGTGTCAGAAAAAAAATGGTGCGCCAAATAATTTTTTTTTTTATATTATTATTTTCCCTTATGTTAATTAGTTAACTTAAAATTTACCTCTTTAGAAACTTCTTTAAAAAAAAATTTTTTGTTTGCAAGAGATATAACTCGAGAAAAAGGGGATTTCAATACCAAACTTTCTTTTAAAACATAAATGTGATTAACATGACTAACCTTGTTTCAGCACAATGCACCAGTGGGCTATACAAATCTATAAAATATATTAAACTTATCCTGATGGGAAATTGAAGTTTAATTTTTAGCCACCAAAGCTGTGCATAACATAAAACCTGATAGGAATTGACTTTTTAATTAAAAGGTTAACTAGATATTAATCATAGTTTTAGTTGGTTTGACTTTTCAAACAAAATATTTACTTACCAATGTTTTTTACTTTGGATATTAACTTTATGTTTTGTGAGGTTAAGTTAGTAAACATCAAATTTAAGTTATTTTATTATTTTTAATTAAAGTCTCAATAAAAAAAAAATCAAACAACTAGGCCTTTAATCAAATTAAGCCTGTTGAAGTTAGTTTTTTTTTTAAAGAAGTCACAATATCAAAAAAAATATCCAAATTTCAAGAAATAAAAAATTAGTATGCACTTAATTAATACAATAAATATCAATCAACTATTAATTTTATGAAAATAAAAAATAAAAAATATAATTATATTAATTATATCAATCTACATAATAGATTTAAGCTATCTCCAAAAGTGAGATTTTTCAATTGCAAAATCTCCTAAAATGAAATATAAAAATCGATTAGTTGGTTGATTAAGACATGAAATAAATTGACCGTGGATGATTAGGAAAAAGAACTTTTAGGGTTTTTTTTTTCTTTTTTTGGACATTAGCAATCAATTTTTTCACTTTTTTTATTTTGGTATTTTTATTTTTTTGTTTTCCTTTTTAATTTTTTATTTATTGATTTGCTTATTTATTAATTTATTTGTTAACATACTTAAAAATTTTATATTATGAACATATTTTAATCAGTTGACAACATTAAAAACTAAAAATATATGTTGGACAAATAAATTTATAATTTTTATAATTATATTTATTTATTTATATCATGTAAATTTCAAAAAAATAAAAAGAATTTTTAATAATTAAATTAGAAGAAGATTGCAAATGATGCTTGGAATTCTTAGATGATATATACATTTTTTAAATCTTACCAAAAGTTTTGAAAAGATTTTGGAAGCATTCTAATAAAAAATATTTTATTTATTTTTAATAAAGTATTTAGCAAAAATAAAAGTTTGTTAAAATCATAAATAAATATAAATGAAAATATAAACTTTTTTTTATAAAATTTTAAATTTATCCGATGATCAAACATTTTCAAGAAAATAAATGAGTTTCTTAATTACTATTGAGATAATAGAATTTTCTTGAGATTTTGTCAAAATATTGAAAAAAACCTAAAAACTTTTTAATATGTTAAATAATGAAATTAATTATGAATAAAAAACTATTTAAATAAAATCTTTTTAGGATAATTTAAGATTAATTGATACTATCTTTGGATGGACCTTATGAGAGTGCTAATACTATTTTTGGATGAAAATTGTGAGAGTATTAATATTTTCTTTACATGAAAATTAATAATATAATATACAATAAAGTTGTCTCCAAGTAGGAACAACTCTCAATTGAAGGGCAACTCATAATTGAGCTTTCAAATTATTTTCTATTTATCAAATAGGTATTGGTTGAAAAAAGAGTTTAATAAGTTGGTCTAGTAGATCATAATGTGTTTGGTTTAAATTAGATTGACACATAATAAGTTGGGTTTTAATTAGATTTGAAAAAAAAGAATATGATTTTCGTTTGATGTTAGATTATAATTTGTGAATTTTTACAAGTTTTGAGTTGATACCATTTATTATCCACAATCAAATAAAATAAAATAAAATATATAATAATAAATAAAAACATAAAAAATATAAAAGTAAAAATTAAAAAATAAATTATTTTTTTGTTTTAAATATTTTTATAAAAAGTGTTTATAATTTATAAAAAAATTAAAAATTATATATTTTGATCAAATAATTAATAAAAAATACAACACTCATAACATAACATAAAAATAATAAAAAAATATAATAATACTAGCTTTTCTAACCCGTACAATGTACATGATTTTTTATTAAATTTTACATAATTTTAAATTTATTTTTTAATTATTTATCTAATATATAATCATATATTTATAAATACTAAGTTGCAATTAAATGATAATTTATATATAACATATTATAAATAACATTATTCATTTAAAAAAAGTTTAAATTTTTGTAAGAAATCCTTTTTTTCATTAAAAAATTTTTTCTTCAATTTATTTGCTAAATATTAAAAATTTTGATACCATTTTTTTCTTATTTAATAAAAATAAGAATCAATATTTAAATAGCTAAGATTAATAATTATTTTTATCATAATGATGATTAGGTGGTATATATATATATATATATATTTGATTGAACAACAAATTACAATTGTTAATTTTGTTATAATCATTTGCTCTTTATTAGTTTTTTATTTTTGACATACTTCAAGCAATTATTACATAAATATATTGGGCTAACAATTATTTCTATATATATCAACAAAATAAAGTTATTTTTTAGATAAAAGGAAAACAATAATTTTTTATGTTATGCTTAAAAACTTTTTTCTTGAAATATTTTTTTATTTTTAATTATTTTTAACATAATTGATAGTATTTTTTATGAGTTAGATATGATAGTAATCATCATTCTTCTCATATCATCCATTGTAGATAAAAAAATTCAATAATAAAAAGTATAGCAAAAAGAAATAGAGAATATAAATTTACATATTAATTTGTCAAGATTAAATATATACAATAATATAAGCAAATATGTTAATAAATTAATAGAAAATAAAAAACATTGAAGAAATGAATAAAAAAATATATATAATACAAAAAGTTAATTATAATTAATCTAAGCAAAATTCAAAAAAGTTATGAACTAAAGAGAAACAAATAAATTAACCAAATATATAATATAACAATATTTGAATTAGAATATAAATAAAAACATTATATTTGTTTTCAAAGTAAAATTATATTTTTATCTAATTTTTTATCAATATTCAAATGTCTCATATTTTCATATAAAGATACAAGCTTTTATTACTTTAACAATACGTGCTTTTCTAGTCAATAATTTATTAACTTATCTAAAAGTATTAAATTTAAATAATCTATTAAATAATTTTTAATTTTTGATAGATTTTGATTTGATTTTAAATAATTATCTAAAAATATTAAATTTAAATAATTTATTAAATAGAATTATTTGATAGAAAATAAATTTTTTAAGTATATATATTTGGAACTGTCATTAAATTAAAAAAAAGATAAATTATAATTTAATATATTTAAATTTAAATCTTATGCAAAAATTTCAATCTCAGATAGATTTTGATTTCAATTTAAATAATTATCTAAAATATTCAATTTAAATAATTTATTAAAATATTTTATTTGATAAATAAAATAATATAAATATTATTCTATGTGTT